TAGCCATGTAAACAGCATTTGAACTCCAACTTGCTGACCTTGGATTGAGATACTTCCTTCTTGAAAGTTGTTCGTCTGCCCAGTAAATATAACGTACAAATTTTCAGAAAATTCCAACGGTGCGATTTTTGCAGATGCCTAGAACACCAACCCAGTTTCCAATTCCGCAGAAAACTAGACAACCATCTTATGAGTACCACAACTCATTTTTTCAGTAGCTCAGATCGAAATTGTTTCTTCGCAAAAGTTTTTCGGTATCCTCCTATCCATATCATACTAAAATTTGAGCCAAATCTAATGGTTTGATCTTCTTCTAAGTTGCATACACTACTTTTGACTCCAAAACTTAGGGGAACCGTTTCGACTTTTTTGAAACTCACAAGAGGAGGAACCAATGGGAACTTATTGTTACTATTACTTCCTGAGTAACTAAAAGGACTTAGAACTGTGAAATGAAAATAAAATAAAAAGGATGAAATAAAAGAAAGTGGCAGACAAAGAAAAAGAAAACAAAAAAGATGGAGACTTAATCATTGCCTTTTCTGTTTTGGCATATTTATGAAAATGATGCTGGTTTAAAGTCCTATCACAAGTTCTATTTATTTGCAGTGGGTGAAATTATTACCCTTTGCTTTAGAGCTTTGATATTTATGTGAATGGTGCTGAATCAAAGCCCTCGTCACAAGCTTTATTTACTTAAAAGCAATTTGTTTACCATGGTTGGAATTACCGCCTATTGCTTTAATTTATTTAGTATACTACATTTTATGATGAGTATATAAAACCCGAAGTTCCTTGATCAGATTAGAACCTGAAGTTTCTTGATCCACATCATATAAAATGATTGGACCTGAAGTTCCATCATTAAAAAAGATCAGACCTGAAGTTCATTGATCATCATTATATAAAAAAGATAGGACCTAAAGTTCCTTGATCAAATCAAAACCTCAAGTTTTTGAATCAACTGAGAGAACATCAGTTCCTCAATTAAAATAAAATGACGGCCATAAGCACCTTAGTCCACAAACTATCAAATGAGAGAGCCAGAAGTTCCTTGATTCGTGTAAATGAGGACCATAAGTTTCTTAATCCATGAACAAATTAAGTATAGGTATGAATTCCAAAACTATGAACATAAAGGTTCTAATGATGTCGATTTTGAAATAAATTTCGAGTATATATGAATAATGTTTTGACTTGAAGTTCAAAATATGAATAACGTTAAGAACTTGAAGTTCTAACATTTTGTGTAGACTTATGTTATATGTGTTATGAGTTAATTATCGCAATTTCCGTCATACCAGAATTTCTTCATTTTGGGAATAAGATAATGGTGAACTTAGTTTATGACCATCGGCATCTTACACAAGAGATACTTTCATGAATTCATAATGCTCGAGAACTTATGTGTAAGCATATGATATTATAAAATATCTATACTTGGCTCATTGAATCATATTCATGGAACCAGAAGTTTTCATGGGTTTCTATATATAACAAGCTAAAGTAGAAGCTTTCTGACATGTATAAAATCAAATGGGAGAAAAAAAATTTTTATACATACACATGAGTCAAAAACAAACTTTTTTTTTTTGTGTTGGGGGGGGGGGGGGAAGGGTGCTTCACAAAGGTTGCTCATGTGAAGCCTCAGTATTTGGCAGTACCCTAAAAGAAGGAGGCACTAGAGATTGATCATGTGAAGCTCTAACACTTGGGAAAACACTAGAAGGGGAATGCACCAATTGCCTTCAGAATCTAGCCAAGAATCTCTGGCGATCACTTTGAATCCAACTTTTGGATTCCTGCAGCTAGTTGAGCTTTCTTTTCATGCTCATCGAGTAAATATTTGCAATTTTGTGCAACTCTTTATTCTTGTGCATACACATAAGTTACAACTACAAAGACAAACAAATTTTTTTTTTGGAGGGGGGGTGCTTCACAAAGGTTGCATATATGAAGCCTCAGTACTTGGTAATACCCCAAAAGAATGAGGTACTAGAGATTGATCATGTGATGCCCTAACACTTGGCAAAACACCAGAAGGGGAAGGCACCAGTTGCCTTCAGAATCAAGCTAAGAATCTCTGGTGATCACTTTGAATCCAACTTTTGGATTCCTGCAGCTAGTTGAGCTTTCTTTTCATGCTCATCGAGTAAATATTTGCAAGTTTGTGCAACTCTTTATTCTTGTGCTTGAGCCCTCTAAGTTCTTGTCTAAAACTTGCTACCTTAGCCATTAATGTTTCGACTTGGTGAGTTCAAGCAAGTAGACGTTGGTCCATGTTGGATACAGAACCTGCACATTGAACATTGAAAGCCAAAGAGTCTTGAATAACCAATTCATCAGACCTCTTTAAAAGTATTCTTTTATCTCTAGGAGTGAGAAGGTTCCTAGCTACTACTGTAGCCGTTATATCATCCCTCATCACAGAGCCTCCAACTGTAAAAAAACCATTAGAAGATAAAAAAGACAAGCACCATATATTATCCTGACGCGGCTCATGTGTATCTCATCCGAGACTTAAATCTAAACAAAGGTTGGATAGGTAAGCCATTTTTAGAAATGATGAAAGAAAAAGGTTGGATAGAGTGAAATCTCAGAAATACAATAGAGACAATTTTTACAAGCGGGCAATTTTCAAAGTGTGCATGTTGGATACAATTGATACATTTATAAAAGGAGAGACAACACAACCACTTGTTCAAAAGTCAAAGAGACACCGCTCTCTGAATTTTGAAAGCCGGATTTTCCTGAATAAAGCTCGTCAACATTTCTCAAATGCAATCTCAGCCTTCTAATTTCAAGGACAACTCTGCCAAAATGTCTTTTGCAAAGTTAAAACATGTAAAGTTCACTATTCCAACTACACTACTGTTACCGACAAGCGTGGGTGACAAGGTCACAATCGCACCATTACCTGCTATTGGGAAATCCCTATATATGTCGACCTTCGTCCTCTATGGCAAAACACACCTCCCAAACACCTAACTCATCTTTCTTACCGATAATGCATCTGCAACCAAACTTCTCAACATATTTAGTCTTCTTTATCTCGGATACCTCAAGTCCCTTAAAATGCCAAACTCATTTTCTCAGCAAGAAACCCCTTTTGATCGAAAAGGTTTACATCAGTATCAAATCCTTCTACTGTTTATCTTCAAGAGTAAAAATATCTCATATCATCAGGGTCGAGAGCAAGAGTATCTCATATCATGCTCTTTCCCTGCCTTTTCCTTTGCCTTTGTTCTTACCTGCAAGACAAGGAGAAAGAAAGCAATTAATTGGAACCTGAAATCAAACTTCCCGTCAGGAACCAACTGCCTAGGACATTTTCTTGATTGCTTAACTTGCATTTTTCTCGAGTAATCATCTTCAATTGTTGTTCGAGTCGAGTCTTAAGTCACCAACAATGCAGAATAATTGGTACGCTATTGGTTCTTTTCACTGAAGCTGCCAAGCATGGATGGTTCACCAAGAAGTGATGGACCATCCAAGGGCAAAGGTTGCGCACCATTTCTACTGTGCAAGAGACTGAAGCAGAAGGATCAACGATGAGCCTATAGAAGTCTAAATGGAGAAAATTGATGGCTGACTGAGCGAATGGAAGACCAAAGTTCAATGATGGGAATCCTACTCATGGCCCCAACAAACACTACCAGTTTACATAATTCACATGATGTACAAAAAGGTAATGAAAATTTTTAATTGATTATAAGTTACAAAGATGCCATACAGATTGAAATATCAGTCAGACTATCCATAAACTTGGCACTACTAAACTGTTGTATGCTCAAAGCATGACAATTGCCGCATGGATTCAAGTTCCAAAAGGATAATCCATGGACTTGACAATTTTAATATATCTCATCCTGAAGCATAATCGATGTGTAGGTTCCAATGATTGAACTCCCTAGAAGTGAAGATTTAAAATCCTATAATGCTCTAGAAAAGGTTATGATCTAAATTCTCAAACAATTCATCTAATAAGAAATTACTATCATAGAAGAGACAATGTAAAGCCCCTTAAGAAGCAAAGATATCTAAAGTTTTAAAATGCTTATAAATGTGCATGCACATGAGAATTATGGGATCAAGAATTGGTGATTACCAATGTTAATTTTGATTTTACAGTTGCTACTAAATTCGTCAATAAGCTAGGTTGATATTGAATCAAGTTCTTTTGTTCATTGACTAAAAAGAAAAATTATTGGCCCAAATGGCCAAAATGAAGAAAGGCAATTCCATTACAATTTATTAAGAACGTGGAAAAATAGACCTATAGTACAAATCGCCAAATGATGTTGAACCCAGAAGGTAACATATAGGCATTTGTAATACAGTGACATACACTCACATAATATGACACAAGGTTTCCAATTGAAACCTGAAATTGTAATACACTCTTGGAAACATTATTTCTCATTGTGAAGCTTGTTCATTTCAGTAGAGAATTATACATATGCCCGAAGAATATCTCCGCAAGTAAATCTCCTAAGTATACATGGAAGCAAGTTGCTCTGTATAAATTCCAAAGAAGCATGTGTCATGAAGTGTAGAAAATCCCTGAAGAATTCAAATTGCTTGAAGAAAGCCTTGAAAGGGTAAAGCAAATCTCTTGCAAGAGTTGATATTAGATTGGAACTCTTGACAAGTCTAGAAAGATTATAAAGTGTTGAAGGGAATATTATCTCAAGCTGCAGATCGAACAATATGCCAACACATATCTTATCCAAAATGTTTATGGTATTCAAAAACCATATGGATTGAAGATCTTGAATACTCAAATGATTAACAATATTTATAAAGTGTTAAAAGCAAATCTCTCTGTCGTTCCGTTTCTCTTTAGTTTTCCCGTCTGTCTTTTGATTTCGGTTTCGATCCGATCTTCTCGAAGGTGTTTGGCGTTTTTTCCCCTGTTTTGCACAAACGAATAGCTCCCGTTCAGGTATGTTGATTCATGTGTTGGTTTATTTTCTGTTTGGTTAGGAAGAAAATTTTACGATTGATTGTTGTGAATTTGGGCTATTTGGCTTTTTTGCCCAGCGTTTTCTTTGTTTTCCCGCGCTCTACGTCTGGTTGTTATCTCTGATTTTGCATTTTGGTTGCAAGAAACATTTTTCTTCGAGTTTTAGGGTTTTATTCTTCCTAGCTTTTTCTGGGTCAGGTATATAATTTATCTCTTTGGTGTTATTTTTTTTTTTTTTTTTGTGCTTCGATTTTTCCCTCAAACTTAAAAAAAAAAAAAAAAAAAAAAAAAAAAAGAGGAATACTGATGATTAATTTTTGGGTTTTGCTTCGTATGTTTCGGTTTTGTACTGTGAGTGAGGAATTTTTTATTTTGGTGTTGTAATTAAGGGCTAAACATTTCCAGCAATACAAATGGATGATCATGATTAATTTTTGGGTTTAATTTAGCTGTTGATTATTGTGGATGAGTTGCGAAACTTCTTTTCGATTATGTGATCTGTGCCTGTTATGTTGTTCTTATCTTGATTATAGTTGATTGAGGTCATGATGATTTATGGGTTTTTTTTAAAATATGATCCAGGTCTGAGCATTCTGGTTAGCAGGCCCGCTTAGTTGAATCAGCTAAGTTTCATGTCTGACATCGACGTACTGCTTCCACTGCCTTTGGTATGTTTTCTGTTAATTCATAACTCATCTGAGAGATCATTTTTTTAATTGAATTCAATTGGATAAGTTTTTTAATTGAAAACCTGGGTACCTAGATGCTTTAGAGATCATTTTCAGTCATCGATACAATACTGTTGTAATTTAGTAGTTGTGCAGTTTGAGAATTGGTGTGTAGTTGTTTCTTCGGCAACCTGACTAACCTGATCTACTCAAGAAACCAAGCTAAACTGCTTATTTGGGCATTATTGACAACCTAAATGGTTTGGTTTGGCGTGGCTATAATTCATATGAATCTGAAGTCGTTAGTTCTGGTGTTAGGAACATAGTCTTTAAGATCTGATTTAACAACCTGGAGCAATATGCATATGTACTGGTGAAAATATAAGGTTGTGAGTGTGGTACTGATTCTTTCTTTGTATTAATTGAGCTTATAATATATTTTAAGGCCTCAAATATAGATTTGCTTTTCGTATCAATTCTTATCTTATCGGTGTTAATAGAACTGATTTGGTTTTGTAGATCAGAATTTTTAAACGACAAAATTAACCTGCAAATTCAGTTCAGGTATCAATGCTTGAGCTTGTTTAGATTGTTGAATTTATCTTTACCTTTACTAGATTTTATTTTTCAATGTTGTTTGATGCATTATCGTGTTACTTTATTATTAATAAAACTAATTTGGTTTTGTAGATTAAGATTTTTTAGCGAGAGAATCATGTTCAAAATTCAATTGAGGTATGAATCTTTTTGCTTATTTGGCCTGTTGAATTAATGTTTGCCTTTGCTACATTTTATTTTTTACAGTTGTTTGGTACATTATGGTATTAATTTCATTGTAATTTTATGGATTTGAAGTCGTTATTTGGATTTTGGACTGTGAGAAGGATCTGGTGGGTATAAAGCTTCACTGCTTTGTATTGCAGCTCATTTTGATAACATTTATAATGGTATATAAATCTGCTGGATTAATATTCCAGTTTAATAGTGTTGTTTATTATGTGTGACAAGTTATATTAGTACCATTTTCACTGTTATCTGTCGTAGTTAGACTTGCTGGCCATTTTTATCCTGTTTATGACATTTTTGTGCTAGGGTTTTTGAGCTTTGTTACTTACCCTTTTGTGTTTTTTTGGTTGCTTGATTTGTTTTGCAGGTTGCATTTGCAAAGGGAGAACAACATCTTAGATAGATTTTGTGCTTATGAAACATTTGAGGGTAAGATTCACATGGTTATTTAAATCTGTGGGTTTTGTTTCTTCGATTTTAAAATGGAAAAAACTTAACATTTTTTTTCCTTAGATTTTAATTAGAATGAGTTGTAAAGCTTTTTATGCATTGCTGTGGTTTATTTTAATAAGTTGGCAACTATGTATACGGAGCTATTAGTTTTGGATTTACAGAAATTAGGTGTTCAATTAGTTGAGATTATTTGGTTTCCTTTCAATTTTCTTTGTTTTCTACTTTCTCTTATTGTCATGTATTTTTGTGACTTATTCTTATTCTGCGGTTGTTGTATTATGTTAGTTTTGCAGAACATTATTATTTAGTCAGTGGTGGTTCTGTTTATGCCCAGAAAATGATTAGCTAAAGTGTACTGACACATGGTCTTTTTTATCAATGTGTTGTAATTTTTTTATATGTTGTGGTTTACTATGGTAACTTTTTTTATCATTTAAATTTTGATTGGCATTTCATCTTTATTTGATTGTCATTCCACTTGACTACAGGCTTTCTGTACAGATTTCATTTTGTGGCAAAAAAATTTCATTATATATACCTATCATTAGTCAATTCAAACTTAGCAATAAGATAACTTTTTCATTATATACCTATTAATTCTCAATTCCGTCATCAGAATTGCTCTTAATTCTCACTCTTGCTAATAGACTTTATCTTTTATGTTTAGCATAAAATAGATAACAATGCATGATAATGAATTACAAATTGTTTTCATCCTACGTATGACTCCATTTTTCCATCCATCTCAACTAATTATTATATATTATTTATTAACTGCCATACAACCTTTTTTTAACACTTTATTTTACAATTTTAAGGGGGGGAAGCTAATTCAGCAAGGGATTTACAACGTTGACAAATACATTTTCAAGCAATGAAGACACAAATATTCAAAGGTATGTAAAATTAATTAATACTTTGTTAACTTTGTTTTATTGACGTTCTACATTTAATTACAATTTTTACTATGCTTTCTCTTTAGGCAAATTAGCTATTACTAATATATATACAAACTAGCTTCTTTTCACTAGAGATAAAAGTATAAAAGTAGACATTTGCACTAGAGATATACCCTCTTCACATATTTTAATCTAGGGTAAAATACAAAAAACTACCTCAACTATTGGGGTCACGACAGTTTCATACCTTATCTTTTGAAATTGACAATGTCATACCGCATCTTATGAATTTGTGACAAAGTCATACCTCCGTCAATTTTTCTGTTAGTTTTTCTTTTTAAGTGCTGATGTGGCTTGATTCGGGACCTACTTTCTATTAAAAAATTATTAAAAACTAAAAAACAATTATTTAATATTTTTTAAAATATTAAAATAATAATAAAAAAATAGAAAAAAAAAAAAAAACCCTCATTTTGTCCCTCCCCTCCCCCCTCCTCCCTCCTCTCTCCTCTCTCCTCTCCCCATCTTCATCTTCTTCCCCCACCTGCAAATTCTAACAAACAAACAAACAAAAAAAAAAAACAAAATCCAATTTAGCTTTCCCTTCCTCCTTTTTTTCCTCTTCTTCTTCTTCCTCCTCCTCCTCCTTCTCCTTCTTGTTCTTCCACCCCGGGGGGGGGGGGGGGGTTGTTGGGTTTTCAAAATTTTTATTTTTTTTATTTTTAGGGTTTGCAGGTGAGGGGAAGAAAATGAAGATGGGGAGAGGAGGGGGGAGGGGGGAGGGGGAGGGGAGGAACGAACTGATGGTTTTATTTTTTATTTTTTTATTATTTTAATATTTAAATAATATTAAATAATTTTTTTTTAGTTTTTAATAATATATTAATGATTTTTTTAATAGAAAGTGGACCCCGAATCAAGCCACGTCAACATTTAACTGAAAAGTAAATGGTCAAGTAACGGAAGGCATAACATTGGACCAAATTCTAAAGATGAGGTATGACATTGTCAATTTTAAAAGATGAGGTATGAAAGTGTTGTGACACCAATACTTGAGGTAGTTTTTTGTACTTTACCCTTTAATCTAATATGTTCTTTCACAGATTTACAAAATATGGGTAGGATTTATCTTTAGTGGAAGGATGTCTGTTTATACTTTTGAATATTGGCCTTAAACCTTTCACTAGACAAACAAAGAATAAGTCATGTATTCACAATAAGTTAGAAGAAGAAGGTATCTATATAAATTGATAATAGTTAATTCCTCTAAAGAGAAAAGACGGAAATGATTATTCTTACTCCAGATAATCAAAACTAAGTTTACCAATTTACATAAATTTGATCCGTCTTAGAGCGCCATTTAATTTTGTTTAAAAAATTATAAAATTGGCAAATAAACTGCTATTTAATCATAGCGTGATTTGCAATACTTTTGTAACTCTTATATAACACTGTCACTAAATATATTTTATTCCATAAGACACCAATTTCCATCTTGTACTAAATTGCAACCAACTTATCTTTTCTTAGACGTTATTTAAATTCTCATTCCACGTATGTATCCAATTTCACTTAATTAATTAATTGGATACATACATGATTTGTTGCAATGGATTTGAAGTTTCCTGGGCTTGGATTCTTGGAGTATTCCCTATTGTTAGCTGCTAAACAACTGCCCTTCGTTTTCTATCTCGCATGGTGTTTACGACTTATTGCAAAACTGAGTTCTCTTGATATTTGTTGTTGTTTTAAAATGCATAATTTACTGCAACTAAATCGTTTGGTTGGTTTATATTTTAGAATCCTATTGTTTTCAGTGATTTTATGTGTTATATTATGTCTTTTACTGCAAAACTGAACTTTCTTTATTTTTTCGCTTTGTGTGCAGTTCGAGCTGACCATATGAGCACCCAAATTGTTACCCGCAACTTGGTAAACTTCCATGCTAAATCTTACTTCTTTGAAATCTTTCTTTTAGTTTTAGCCTTTTGTAATGTGGAATATTGGTGAAAATAAGAAGTGTTTTTAATGTGCACAGTTGTTATATTAATGTGCAGGCATTGATGGTAATGCCCTGTCTTGATTTCAGCCTTCTCTTCTGAATTCTTGAAAGAGTGGTATAGTTCTCTCATTCACTTCCTTCTTCTTTCAATACATACTCAGTTACAATTTCATTATTTTCGTTCAAATAAGTGATGGAGACTTTAAATAGGTTGTGCACTCTGTATTCTGCAGTTTATATTTCCCCTCCTCATTTGAGTTTTCCTTATCATAATTATTTATTTTTCGTTGTGCACTCTGTGTGAAGTGTTCTTTGTAATAGCAGTGTATCTTATGGTGGGTTTATAATAGCAAATGTGAAGTGTTGTATGTAATAGCAGTGTATCTCATTTTATGTCATAAAATAAGGAGGGGAATACAGTTTTCAATTCACATTGTATGTGAAGTGTTGTTTGTTGTTTTTTTTGTTTCTTTTTCATACAATTATCATCATTTGGTCATAGCTGCTCGAGTTTGAGTAGTTTGTGTCCAACTTTCAGTTTGTACTTTCTGCAGACAATGATCTCATTGTTTCTGATGTGGGACAAGGTTTGAAGTTGGAGAGACCAAGAACTGGGCACCCTCTACAGACTGCAGTACTACTACTCTTGCTAAAGTCTGTTTCAGTTCGTCTCTACTCTCTCAATCGTCATAACTTGCTTTTTATCTGTCTATCAATCTATCTTTCTTCACATTTATATATTAGAATAGACTTAAACCACTTACTACTTGATTATAAGGCTATTTCCACTTTAGCATTTATCTGTGGAAATGATCCATGTGGTTTCACCAATGAACTCACATCCTTGGATGGCAAGAGGACTCAATAGAGCTCACTATATAACTCAAAATCCAATAAGCTCTTGGATGTATACTACTTGAAATCAATTAAAATCTTAGGATTAAAATACTTATGGAATTACTGTGTATGATATCATTTTCCAGTTCATTGAAATCTGGCGAAGATTGTCCATGCTCATTGCTCCTCTCCTCCGTACACACGCTCCTCTTTTTTTTACTCTTACCATTTTTTCTTTTTAAATTGTAATATTTTGTATATTTCTTTTGACCCAATCCACATATTGATACGTAAATCGAGCTGAATGAGATTATATGCTTTGATTGCACTTTTTAATGGCATACAATTGCACCTTGATGTTTGTAGATTACAATTTTTTCGTTTCACAGTAGGCTTATATCTTCTACACTCTTGAGCAAGAATATCAGATTGTATATATATTTTGACTTCACATTTGTTGGTTTTATTTCAGTAGTTTTATGGGTGATACAATTACTAAAGTACTGTACGAAGTTACAGAATTTCATGCGAACTTTTAAGGTTGGACTCTTGGTCTTTCTCTCACTTTTTACTTGAATGTTGAACGGGCTTTAAGTATTGTTACTTAATTATTTTTCTCAATCAAATTTTTTCACTGAAAAATTCAGTTTATATTCATCAATAAACAAAAATAAGTTAATGTCAGTGATTTGTCTTTCTATCTGTACGTTATCTCACTTACTTTGGTGTTAACTGATAATTAGGACTTATAAGAAATTTAAAATCCCTCATAGGAAAAGTTTTTCCCGCACTAATCACTACTATAGTCTTAACGTCTGATTAGATTGGGTAATCATTCAAAAATTCAGAACAGAAGCTCATTCTCTCTCTCTCTCTCTCTCTCTCTCTCTCTCCCCCCCACCTCCCCCTCCCCTCCCCTCCCTCCCCCTCCCCTCCCCTCCCTCCCCTCCCTCCCTCCCTCCCTCCCTCCCTCCTATTGCATTTGGGTTTTCCCATGTTTCTCTTTCTGTTGATCTAATTTGGGGTGAATTTGTTGAATTTTGGTTGAATTGGAATGTGGGTTTAATTGTGTTGAGTTTTTGTTTAACTTCTGGAGTTAGTGGATTCAAAATTAAGAAATAGTAATTGGTTGTAGTTAATCATATAAAAGATGTGTATGATTTTCATGTTGCATATGAGATGTTAAAATACAGTAATTTTATTCCTAGTCTTGTTGTTAAAAGTTTGTTTCATTGGTGTATCTACACCCTTTTATGTTGTGGATCAGTGGGTCCAGCTCAAGATATAGATAAAAGAATACAAGCTCTTAAAAAAAACGTATAATTTATTAACCCTTTTGGCAGGTTAGGAATACGTACCCCAATAGAATTACAGATTTGAGTGATGAGTTTTTTCGATGGTGTTAATTTTTTTATAGAAAACTTCATTTTAATCCTTGGCAAAGATGACTTTTTGATTAAAACCATGAGTAAGATCAAAATCTAATTTTAGTCCCTTGATACATTAATAATCTCATTTATTAATTATATTTTGATGTTTTAATTATTTATCTTTTTCTTTCTAATTTTTAATGTATTAATTTTATTTCATTATAATTTTTATTTTCATTTCATTCATCATAATATATTTTGTTGTGAACATTTAGATAAACTAATTTTTGTTATACAATATATTTCGATGAACTTTATCTTCTTCATTTAGGTATATTAAATTCATTATAATACATTTCGTTGCATACATTTAGGTATACACATTTCGGTACATGCATTTCGATACAAACATTTAGGTACATTAATTCAATATAATACATTTTCGGTACTAACATTTTGATGCATACATTTCGGTACACACATTTAGGTACATTAATTTAATATTAATACATTTAGGTGCATATATTTAGGTACATACATTTCAGTACTAACATTTAAATATATTAGTTCAATATAATATATTTCGGTACTAACATTTAGGTACATTAATTGAATCTTTCAAGTTTGAAGAATGTTAAATAAAATTAATAAATTAAAAACCTCTTTTTTGGTCAAAAAATAAATTAAAATTTGTGTATTAATAAATTTAAATATTTAATGGGAGACATTCAATAAAATGCACATTAATTATTTTGAATTAAGGACACATTAGGGACTAAAATCAATGTTCAATCTAACACTAGGTTTTTTTTTTTTAATTTTAATCTTCTTGAAGGATTAAAGTTCAAAAACCCCATTTTTTAAACAATTTATGATGCTATTTGTAAATTTAGTCAGATTTTTTTATTACCAACTATTATATCGATTTTTATTCCAATTCGCAATTACTTCTTTTGTTAAATTTAAGCTTGCTTATTTTAGTAAATTTTTATTCCTTATGTCCAAATACATATACAATACTGTATATGTTTAGTTTTCATAATGTTGCTCAGCATTTTGAGTATGCATTTTTTTGTGTAGAGTGAAGAATGTACTGTTCACAAAGGCAAAACAGGGAACAACTACTACTTCATATGGGAAGAAGAGGTTAGTTTAATTGTAATTTTTTTTTATTTGGTTAAATTCGAAGTTGGTTGGCTTGCATCTAATTTGGTCGTTTGCCGGCATAGGTTTAAGTCACTGGTTTTATTAATGCTGGTGACCGAAATCAATCCAAGTTAATGTTAAAACGATATCACTATTTTTGTTATGGTGAGGACTAAGAGCTTATAACATTTTCTTTATATCTCTCATTTTTTAAATTAAGAAATTTACTTTTTTTATACCTCTTTTGTGATCATTTACTGAGAATTTGTTAATTGTTTTAATATGTACGAGGTAGGATTTCTACGTTGTCGAATAGTTTATGGATTTTTCATATCAAGTGTGTCAATATGTTGTTGTAGTAAATCAATTGATGTGATATAAGTTGATGTGTTTATACCTTTAAACATAAAAAAATTCACATAATTTATAATCCCGTAGCAACACGCTGGCAAAACTTTCTATGTATAACGATAACTGCGTTATATATGTTGTTGTAGACATAATCTAATGGATGTTACCATTAACTTTTATCCCTTAATCCTCATCAATTCATTTGATCCGACGGTCAAAAATTGAGAGGGTTTGTAAAAGATAAAAAGAGGTGTATGGTTAACACCACCCTATTTCTATTTCAAAGTCTTTTTTTTTTTTTTTTGAACAAATAATATTATCTACACTAAAGGGGAGGGGTGAGTTTAGCCTCACAATGGGCTAGCAATAATGTGGTTCAAATTCGCATTTAGCGAAAATTGAATCTAAGACCCCACTTATTAATAAATAAGAATATCACTAGACCGTAATACTAAATGTCTTCGAAGTCATATTTTAGCATAACTATTGGCAATTGCTAGTTAGAGGACCAATATGATTAGAAGTTAGAACATGAGTAATTACCACCAAAGCATCCATTTTCTGAGGACATCAACGATTTCTTTACAAGATCCATTTGTCTCCCATACAATCACATATAAGTTGAGAAACGGTAATACAGACTCATTATACAGGGGGAAACTTTAACACTCATAAATCATAAATGACTAATTAAACTCATAGGACCCCAGTAGAAATCCTCCACACACAATTGCACTTTCCCATTGTAAAACGGAAAATTATGGACGGTGAATGAAATAGTATGTTTGTGAGATAGTAAGAACGGAAGGGGAACCTGCAACAATGAACTATATCAATGATCGTGCCTTAATAAATTAGGCACGACCCAAGCTCATTTAGATAAAGCACTGCATGACATGATTAGCAATCAGTGGTCAGGTTGGTCTTAAGGTTTAGGTCCAATAGGCCGGCCCGGCAACGATTCATCATGGCCAAGCACGGCCCATGACGTGGGGCCATTATGATGACTATCCCATTAAACTAATACATAATTAAATATTAATATATTTATTCATTATTTTTCAAGTAAAACATACAGTTCGGAGCTAATAAGACTAAATAATTGTGATATTAGGTTTTAAACTAGATTCAAATAATTTTTTTCTGATAATATAAAATAACTAAAGTTTGTTGAGCCTCTTGTTTAGTGGCACGGCCCAAGAACGGCTTAGGCCCATATGCACCTTTAGGTGTTAGACCGTTTGACACCTTTAGTTTTTAGGGGTGGGCATGAGAACCATAGAATTGAGAAACCGAATTGAAACATGACAAAAAAATTAAAAAAAAAAAATCGAAAAAAGAAAATTTGTGTTTGTTGACAAAAAAAAAAAAAAAAAAAAAAAAAAAAAAAACAAAAATTAACTTTTGACAAGAATTGAATTGAGTCGATTCAGATTGGTTTCGATTTAGGTTCTCAACTTGAAAAAACTAGCATGACCGAACTGAACCAATTAATGGTAATTTAATTTTTATGTTTTTTTTCAACAAACGATATTTTCTACCTTAAGAGGAGAGGGTGAGAATTTAATTTTTATGTTTTTAAATATATTCAATAAACATAACCCATCTAATACTAATCTCTCGCAAGGCCTACCAAATTTAACTAAATCGAAGGTCCAAAGGCCCATAACCTAACTAAACCCTACTGACTCTATGTCTCTTCCTCTTCCTTTTCTTTATGCAGTCTGGCCACCAAACCAGTCTCACATTTTGTCTCTCCCCCTTTAGAGCCAATCTCTCTTTTCTTCTCTACCATTTCTTCTCTCTTCCCTTCTTCGCCCTCTCGTTTCTTCTCTACTAGTCTCACAAATCTTGCAGGTTTATGTTTTTACCTTGTACACTTCCAGTAGTTTGGCTCAAATTTGTAAGAATTTGTCGGTGAAAACATACTGTTGGACGTTGAAGCAGGACTCGAAGGAAAAATATATCTCTACAATAGAATGCCAGAAGAGTACTTTGGTGTCTCAAGCCCCTTAAACAAAAAAAATAAAACAAAAAAACAAAAAATTTAAAAAATGTACAGTTAGAACAATAAACTCAAGCGTAAGAGTGGAAAGGTTTTCAAAAAAGAAGAATAAAAAAAGGATAACGTGAGAGAAAGGATCGATCACCACGTTCAGTTTTGCAACTACATTCAGCAGTCATCCTTTCGGTTTTGCAGACTACCACACTGGTACGTGGGATAACGTTCGGTTTTGTAGACTCCGACACTCCAACACTCCAACGTGGGATAAAAGGGGTAGAAACCAACGTCCAAGTCGCCGATTCTTCTTTTTTCAATTTTTTTCTTTGAGATTTGCGGTGATTCCTCTCCCTCCCTATCCCAGGTGCTCAAATGAAATTAATCTGTGTATAAGCTTCCGTTTTGATTTGCGGTACAGAGTGTTTGCTTTTGTTTGTTTTGCTTGCTTCTGTTTTCTCTACTGATAAAATTATTTGTATTTTTAGGATGCCAAGTTTGGTAGCAAGAAAGCGCCGGAGCCACAGCAAAACGGGCAGTCCACTGATGGTGCGGTGAGTAATCGGAGTAGTTCACATGAAGAGAACAGGTAGTGGATTTGATCTTATCATGTGGTGCATTGCATGGACTTTGTAGAGTTGGACTCATTTGTTCTTCGATTTTGTCTGTTTTTCAGGCAAAAAACTCGGCAACTCCTTCAAATGGAGTCTTATCTGCAAAACGTGTTAAATTTCATTGAGGATGTCTTCTGTAAAATCCAGTGCGAGGGTTCTATGTGCTGTTGTCGTGGATGAGGAAGCGATGCAAAGGCATCTTTAAATTCATATGCCTTCTGGAAATTCCAGTGCGAGGGTTCTATGTGTTGTTCCCGTGGATGAGGAGGCGATGCAAAGCACGATTTAATTTTGAAGATAGAGTTCGTTTCTTTTTCTATTTTACTTGTCTTTTTTTCATTTATGTTTGACTGGATTTTGATAATTTGATGGTGGTCTTTCGTTTCTCATAGGTTAGAGAATTTTTGTCTTTTAAATTACTCCTCTCGGTAGAGAAGAATATATAGCTCTTCTCTGCACTGATATTAACATGCAAGTTACTGTTATTGCATATATTGTTTCCTCATGTTATCTTTTCTTTTATCAAAAAAATTATCGTGTTCTTTTTTTTTTTTTTTTTGGTTTATGTAGGAATTGAAAAAAATTTAAAGTGGATTTCAACAAATCAAGAATTGACACAAATGATAGGAGCAATAATTTAATTTTACATAATGAATAGCATTTGTGACCTATATAAATTAATTTGATTTGCTTCTGTATTTCCAGTTAATGCTTGACTTCACGCATAAAGACATTCTTGATTTCTTGGTTTATTAATTTGATACCTTTCATAATGTAGGTTACAAATTCAAAATAATTATAAGAATGTCTTTATGCGTGACCAAATGTAAAAAAGAAAAAAGAACTTCGTAAGTCGTGCGTAGCGCGTCGTGATGTAAAAAGACATTTTGCAAATGCATGAGTTCGTGCAAAAAGGTTAGAATATATAAAGCTTATTATATTAACATCCTACATATTATTGAGTACACGGTACATCACACCATTGCTTTTACAATTAAAATTTATCATAATATAGCCACGCACTTTCCCTTAATGTCCTCACACCCCACCCAACCCCGCCTGGCCCTGCCTTTTTTCTCCTCCTTCCTTCTGCACTTCCGTTTTTCATCCCATTTTCAATTAATCAGAAAGGCAAATTATACGTTGTGTAAGGTACTGTGTTGCACCGATGATACAGAACAATGCTCTTTACATGCTTCAGTGTTATAAATCTTCTACATTTGGCTTGGTTGTAGGGTATACAAGTCATCTAATATTAAATTTTAATATAGAATGCTAATAAAAAAGCTTATATATAATTCGGTTTACAATGAATAACCGGTCAAACTAAACCGAAACCTCACTGCTCGGTTTCATTAATAGATTTAAGTAAAATTGAACTAAACTTAACTGAACTGGTGTTCTTCAATTTTGGATTAAAAAATGGACCGGACTGAATTAGACCGTGCCCACCTCTAGTTGTTCGAATTCAAAATTCAAGTTCAAGCAAATGATGGGTTGGATTATTGTTCTAAATTTTCTTTCTTTATTGACTGAAATTTTTTTTTGTTAATTTTTGGGGATTGGTTACTTTCATCATCGGGCACTAGCGCCAGAGCAAACCCACAACCTCGAGCTGGAAAGACTTGCGCTGACACCTAACTGTCAGCTACCCCTGCTATGGATTTACGTAGGAATTAACATAAGTTGAACTTCGTTAAATCTCTTACTTTTTTAGTTTTAAGGGAATTTTTTTTGAAAATGTCATATGAACTTGTAGCCATTTTTTAATTTGTCATATAAACTAAAAGTTTAAGCAATTCGTCATACCAACTTTCCAAAATCATCAATTTGTCATCTCACCCTAACTATGTTAAGTTTTCCATCCAAAGTAAGTCATATGCCTTCCACATGACTTGTATTCAAAGTTATTTCTACCATTTTAACATCTCACTTCCTTCTATTATGTTGCGTTCGATTAAAACAATTCTAAAGTGTTTAGTTTAGTATATCAGGAAATCAAATTTTATATGGACTCTGTAATATAAGAAACGAGTTGATTTTTGGTGCTAGAAATGGAAATGTAGATGCATATACTCGAACACAATGATCCGCATGAATACCCTCGAACACAAAATTTAAGAGTTTTACTAAAGAAAAATAAAGAACTTGTAAAAAGATCTTAAATGGCAGAAATAACCTTGAATACAAGTCATGTGCCTCATACATGACTTATTTTTTATGGAAAACTTAACGAAGTTAGGTGAGATGACAAATTGATTTTTTTTCAGAAAGTTGGTATGATAAATTGCTTAAAATTTTAGTTTATATAACAAATTGAAAAATATGTACAAGTTCATATGACATTTTAATTTTAATTTTCTAGTTTTAATAAAGAAAATAATAAAATATCAAACCAATTCCTCACCCACACGTTGCAACTTCTTCCTTTTTTCTCTCCCGCACGTTGCAAACCTCGACCTCTCTCTCTTCCTTTCTCTTACATTTTTTCTTGTACACCATTTTTTCTTCTACGGTTATGTCATCTTCATTCTAGTATTTGGAGAAGAAATTATTAAATAATATAGTACTACATTGATAGCTAATAGTAACTCCCAACAGGTAGGTAACACGCGGCAGAAGTCAGATCCTAAAAAGACGAGTTACACACAAAAAAAATTAAAGACGTAGCTTTACGCCATAGGCCCACATGTATAAGTTTCAACCCGTCGTTTACTCGCTATTCGCACGCGGAGGCCCCCATGCCCGACAAAGACGACAATGTTGAGGCTAGCATCCTTCAAGCCCTTTTAAGTTTCCCAAGAGCATCAGGAGTCGGTCCTTAGTATAAGACACGATTTACACACAAAAAATGAAAGACGTAGCTTTATGCCATAGGCCCATATGAAAAAGGATGATATCACATGATATCATATGTTTCTATGTAAGCAATTGAATGATGATGTGTGTTAAAAGGATGATATCTCATGATATCACATGTTTCTATATAAGTTGACTGAAAAATGATGTGTGAAAAAGGATGCCATACGCCCATATAACTAAATAAGCCCCTTGAGATACCGACTCATATTTTTTGTATTTGTGTTTATTCCTTATTTTAATGGTTTATATTGGGTCCATTGGTTAAGCTAACAATTAATACAATTCAAATTCAAACTCGAACCGTTAAAATAATTGATGATACTACCTGACATATTAAGAAATTTGTTGAAGCATGAAACTTCATTTCAAAGAAGGTAGCCAAAAGTCAGTGACGAGGATTGTCATAATGAGTTTCATAAGTGAGGTATGTACAATTATTAAAAAAACCAGTTTTTGGTTGAAACTGATACATGTGGATGACACTAAATCAATCAATTAATTAACATATCACTAACGAGTCTACCCGTTTCAACCCGAACCCATTAATGCTTAACTCAAATATTTAATTTTTCGTATTGTACAGTTTTATGTTATTATCGTGTTGTTTGCAATATTGTCAAGTCTATCTTGTAGATTTCCAATAGTTTGGCTATGAATTTGTTGGTGGAAACATACGGGTTGAATGTTGAAGCGGTCAAACCGATTTGGAACCGCAGGAACTGAACTGCTCAGTTCCAACCAAACGTTTCGGTTTGGAAAGTTATTTGGACCGAATCACCGATGTTTTCTCTACGTCCACATGTCTCAGAGAATGTTTTGGCCACACTGAGCCACTCGTAAACAATGTCAGGAGAGGGTGAGTGATATAATGGAGCTGGAAGAAACGTTAGTTGACTGTTCACCTTCAATCCTCTTTTTAAATTTCACAGAAAACGTGAGCATCACGTGTTGGTCCTTATAAGACACGATTTACACACAGAGAATGAAACATGTAGGTTTGAAAGGTGACGTATTTTGAAATGGGGCTGATTGTGGGACTTTAAATAAGAAACGAGTCATATTTTTTGTGCTCGTGTTTATTTATTATTTTAATGATTTATAATTATATTGTGTATTAAGCTAACAAGTAATACAACTCAAACTTAAAGCCGACTTGTTAAAATAATTGGTGACGCTACCTTAGATGTTAAGATTTTTTTTTTTTTTTGGCGATTGAAGCTTGAAACAACAATCAGCAAGGCCCCAAAATCCAGCTATAATCTTCTAAGCATGTACTGTAGGAAATTATTTGCCTTTCCGATATCCAAAAGTTAGTTAGAATGAGTTTGATAAGGGAGTTATGTACAATAATTAAAAGAGACATGCGTTTAACGAGTTGAAATGGATACCTGTGGGCAACACTAAATTAATCAGTTAGTTAATATGTCACTAACGAATCTCAACTCAAACACATTAAAGCTCAACTCAAATATTTTTAATTTTCCGTTTTGTTATCGTTTTTTGTCATATTAACTAGTTTTGTACGATATTGTCAGGTCTACTCGTTGCTTAAAAAAACAATTGAAATCCAACCAATAGCAAATCGACAAAATGAGAGATATAAGTCTAATCTTAAATTTTCATGTTAATGTTAACTAAAAAAATTCATAAATAAAAGAAAAGAAAATCATATATAAAATTTAAAGACTCATATTTTTTTTTGCATGTAAAGTTCGTGAGCAAGCTCATATTTTTTTCATAAGACAACTCAAACTAAATTTGATTCAAAAAGTTTTCGTTGTAAAAAAAAAAATTATATTTTTTGTCACGTAATTTGCATGTGATACCCTTAAAATTTAATCCAACGGTTAAAATTATTATAATTTTTATAGAAGCCCCTTATTTATGACCGTTGAATCAAATTTAAAGAGCCCGAACATTCGGATCCCTAAGATTTGGTGGAAGAGATCCGAAGGGGATCTCTTCCAGATACAAAAGCATGAACACTTGGCTTGTGAAATCGTTGAAATATGTCTTATGTGGAGGTTCAATCATCTCAATCTTCAAACGCAAATCACACTTATGTGTTGATTTTGCTTTATTAAATTATTAAATATATTAAGCTTTTGAATCTAAACTAACATAATTTTAAGATTAATATGCATTTGATCTTCACATAATCTCAAAATAAAAACTTTAGAAGAACATGACTCTTACTTATATCCATTCAACTTTCATGCAAGATTACTTTCATTGACATAGGGGCCAATAAGGTGACTTTGCTATCATCATAAGCGACAGAATTTGCAGGCCCTCCGTTGTCTCCAATTGCGAATTCTCCATCGCTAACTCTACCGTTTTCTCCGCGTCCACATTTCTCAGAAAATGTTTTGGCCACACAATTCAAGGTGAGTGATGTAATGGAGCAGGGAGAGGCAACGTCAATTGACTGGTCACCTTCAATCCGTTTTAAACTACGCACAAAAGCAAAGACATAGATTTATGACATAGGGCCTAAGTGGATTGAAGGGTTGCCATCTAAGAGTAATTAATTTTAACCGAAGGTGAGCTGTCATTTGTCCCTTATCACTTCCATCATAGATTTACTATCTATTAGCTGTCAAGAAATAATATTTAATTCTGTTTGGG